GGCGTGCGGGTCAGGAGCAGTGCATGTGGAAGAGCCTGTTCTGTGTAGCTGGAGGTGGCAGGCTGTGACCAGCAGGTGGACGTTGGACAGACAGATTTGGCTGCAATAATACTAATCACAGAACTTACTGCATCCCAGCATTTGTTCTGGGCACTTTTCCTGTATTAATTCACTTAGTCTTCACAACATCCCTTGGAGGTAGGTTGTTATGAGCCCAATTTTATAGATGGGTTTGCTGAGGTCCCATGGCTAATATGAAGCAAAGCAGGAGTGGGAGTTCCAGCAGCCTGGATCCTGAGGTCAGGCCCTAACCCCCATACTGTCCCCCTGTCTGTGTGTCTGGGACTTCCTAACTGCCAGAGCAGACCAGCGATAGGACTTGCTGCTGGGAATGTGGTGAGCCACCCATTACTGAAGGCATTCAAGTAGAAATTGAAGAGCCATCTGGTTTTGGGTGGAAGTCGGCATTAAATGTTCACTGCTTCTTGAAGGTCTACGGCAGTTGTCTGTCATTTCTAGTTCACAGACGTGCCACGTTGGACAGCTGGCCCCTGGGAAGAGGATGGGCCGTGCCTGTTTTCAGGGGCCTGTTCACCAGTATAGTTTTCATTTCCAGCAGGGCCGGGAAGGTTCTGCCTAGTTGCCAGCCTGTGACTGGACTGCAGCCCCCTTCTCCCCACGATTCAAAAGTTAGAATGTGTCCGAATCACCTGGCAAGTCTGAAAGTGTTGATTTCTGGGCTCTGAAAGCACTAAACTTAATCGTGATTTAGGAGATCTAGGATGAGGGGGGAAATCAGCCCTAGTTAAAAGAAAACTGGGAAGAATATCCTTGGAACTTCAAAGTCCGTTTGTTTTTTCAGTGGTTATGTTGTAAATAGCTTCTCATGGGAGAAGCTGAGGATACAGAATATTTCTCACCCAGTTTGCTAAACAAAGAACCTGTCTGCTGACTTGAGCGAGCTCTCCAGCAGAACTACCGCCTGGCTCTGCTGAGTCCTCACTCCCCATTCCCTGCTCCAGCCGGGCTGTGCCATTTGGACTCTGGCCTTTAGCAATGGCTACAGGAGCATCTCTTTGTACTCGGGATGCTTCCCCATCCCCATCACCTCCTTAAAAAAAATCTGTTAAATGTTAGCTTTTATTAAGAGGTTCCTGGGAATGGTGATGGTTGATACAGATATCCCCATAGTCTATCCCTACAAACTTTACTGGGTAATAATAACTATTAAAAATTGGATGCTTGATGCTTGGTTTCTTAAGGTTTACTGATCTTGTCATTGGTTATAGTCACAGTCAAGCACAGCAGAAAGGGCATCAAAATCTCAGTCCAAACGCCCGAGCCCTAGACTTGGCACCGTGGCTGTCTGCCGACTCGGCACACTGCTTCACCCCTCTGTGCTTCAGAACCTTTGTCCACGAGTGGGGGTAACAGGGTCTGACCAGCTGCCTGTGTGGGGCCATTTTGTTAATCAAACGAGAGATCTGAAATGCTCTAAAACATGTAAGGATCACGTTTCTGTGAACTGCAATGTTTGGGCCCTTGAGAACAGAGCCTGTGTGACACATCTCACTCAGCGTCCAGCAGAGTCCCTGTCACATGTGGGGGTAAAGTAAGCTCCCTGCTCCAGCCTCTCAGACTGCCCTCAACACACACACTTGAGGACCTGGACAGTCCAAACTCTGCCCCATCACTCGGCCCTCTCCCTCAGGTGGCTAATCTGTCCCATGGGGCTTGGTGTGACTCCTTTCTTGGTTCTGGGGACACCTTATTTTGTTTTCCCTAGTGTATTGGCCATAGTGAGAGTTAGTAAATATTTGTGCAGCTATAGGAAAAGACAGTGAGGTAATTGTATCGACCTTTCCTGCTCCCTCCCACTTCTCCTCAGCTGCAGCGGGGAGAGAGTGGGACTATTAATAGGGGGTTTCAACCTTTTTGACTCTGTTATCCCCTTTCTTAATGTTGAAAACTTCTCTGAGCCCCACATAGTTGTATACATAGTATATTAGATTGTAGTCTTTCCTTGTGTTTTAAGGTAAATTCAGTATTACCTTTAAAGGACACGCATGTATTCATCACAACAGCATCTATATACGTCTAAACACAGCCATCAAAGTGTGCAAGCAAAACGTGGGTGTTCAGCCCACAAACAATGTTTATGTGCATTCAGACCCTGGGCCTGCTGGGACAAGCCTGAGGTTCCCGGGTCTGCAGTGCAGATGGGGACTCCCGGACCGAAGTGTCTCCCTGCTGCACCAGCTCTGGGGTTCCCGAGCCTTGCTGGGGTTAGGACTCTGGAAGGGAGAGAAGGAAGAGGGTGTAGCGGGGAGGAGCAGGGAGGACTAGAGGACGGAGCAAGGCAGGTGGGCTGTGGACACTGTGGGGGAAAGGGAATGGCCAGCCGGACACGGTGGGGGATGAGGTTGCAAAGCTAGAGCAAGGCTGGGCGGTAAGGCTGCCCTGCCAGAGGAGCCAGGTGGGGCACAGTGCTCATGTCTTGTCAGGAAGTGTGATGGACCCTGTGTCGGGGTCCGCAAGACCACCCTAGGGTCAGTGATTTGCTAGGAGGACTCCCAGGACTCGGCATGTAGTTGTGTTCACAGTGGTGATTCGTTACAGCGAGAGGACAGAAAGCAAACTGAGCAGAGGGAGCAGGCACGTGGGCCAAGTCCGGAGGAACCAGGAGCGAGCTTCCAGAGGCCTCTCCCGGTGGAGTCACGTGGGCCGTGCTCAGTTCTTCCAGCAGCAGTTGTGACAACAGATGTGAGATGTTGTCTGCTGGGGAAGCCCACTAGTCAGTGCCCAGGGTTTCCACTGGGGGCTGGTCACGTAGGCCACCTGGCATGGACCAAAATCCCCAAGTCTCAGAAGGAAATCGACATTTAGCCTAAAGCACACTGTGCAGACAGTCTGGGCCCAGTAACCACGCTCATCAGTTAGGGAACCGTGGAAGCCCTCCTGAAATCCAAGTTCCCCGACGCCAGCCTGGTGCCAGCCTTGCGGGCAGGCCCTTCCAGGGGCAGCAGTCTAAGGCCTGCTCTGCTAGCTCTTCTGTACAGACCCTCGTGCTGGCTGCCTTTTATCTGTCCAAAAGGCTGGGAGGAAATGGAAATGGCTCTTGGAGAGATGTGTTGGAGGGTGTCGAGAACGGGCCCTCTGGTGGTCGGGAGCACACAGTGAGCTGAGCAGGCAAAGGCCGAGCTGTCTGACCGCCTGCAGGCCTCCAGACCTCTGGACCAAAGGCGGGTGGTCAGTGGGGAGGTGCCTCCAGCCGGGTGTGTCGATGAGGTCCCCACCAGTTCAGAAGGAGAGCAGGACGTCGGTGTGTGTGACTGCGTGGTGCCAGCTGTCAGAGGGTGACAGACGGAGTGGGGAGTAGATGCCATCAGTGACAAGGCCGCGAGTTAGTAGCAGTGACAGTTTTTAAAGTCACTGACTTGAGTTGATGAAACAACGCAGTAGATTATCTTCTTTGCTTTATTGGAAGTGTCTTCATTTTATTTAATAATTTTTTCTTACAAAGAAAAAGTTTAGCATTTGTTTCTAAACCAGAAGGACCTTCCCATAATTTACATTCTGTTTGCTTAATTTGCACAAAGTTAATTTTTGCCATAATTTAAAAATTCATGCCTGTCAGATACTGGTCATCTTCTAGGGTCTATGGCTATTTTAAAGCCCACTTAGTGACTATTCTTAAAGAAATTAGGACAGAAACGTCTCTTTTATCTTAAAAAGCTGTAGGGTAGCAGGGGATGCTCTCCAAGCGTGACCTCAGGTTTCTTCTGAGCCCTTCTCAGTGAAAAGGACAGTGGTGTACCAGCCTCCCCCCAGAGGGGCGAAGGGTAAAAGGTCAGGGAGGGGCATGGGGCGAGATGGGGAGGACTGGACTGTGGCCTGGACGGGCTTCAGCGTCATCGTCTGTGGAGCCCAGTGCTCGTGTGTTGCAAGGACTCCGTGGAGGTGTGCCGCGTGGGCTTGGTGATGAAGGCTGCGGGTCACGGCGGTGGAGATCATCATGGCTGGTCGGGGCTGTGGAGGTCACGTGAGACCTGGAAAGTAAGGGCAGGCGCAGCCCAGCTCAGGCCTCAGTTCACTGGAGCAGCTGGGAACCAGAGACGGTCTGCTGGACCAGAGAGTCTGAAGAAGAGGAGTGGCCGGAGGATGGGATGCAGGTCAAGGCTGTGAAAGTGGCACAGGGCGCGTAGGCTGCTGGTTTCCTCCTTCACCACCTGCACCGCCATCTGTCTGTCCTACTGAGGGAGACTCCGCCTCCTCTGGACTTGCAAGGCTGAGGTTTTCCTTCTCTCTCGTCCTTAGGGTGGGGCTGGGAGGAGGAACATAGCGTTTTGTTTGCGTGGTTCCTGACTGTTGGATCATCCCCACTAAAAAGTATGGAATGTTTTTTTTTTGTCATAATTACCATGCATTTTATTTGTAAACTTTTTTTAATGCCATAGTACTAGGATCCTGGGTCCTTGCACATTCAAAGGGACATTTGCTTGTTAACTTCCGTGAATCTCTAATGTGGTGAATTTAGCGCTGGCTGGGGTTCCCATCCTGGGCTGACCTTTTCTTGGGCCCAGGCCGCAGGGTATGAGACTGTCTGTATTAGCGTCCCTGGGCTGCCGTAACAAAGGACCACAAACCAGGGGGCTTAAACAACAAATTTATTCTCTCACAGTGTGGGACGGGAGAAGTCCAAAATCAAGGTGTTGGCAAGGCCATGTTCCCTCTGAAGGCTCTAGGGGAGGATCCTTCCTTGTCTTTGCCAGCTTCTGGTGGCCCCAGGCATTCCTTGGCTTGTGGCAGCGTCACTCCTATCTCTGTCTTCATCATCATGGGCCTTCTCCTCCCTGTGTGTCTGTGTCTCTCTTTTAAGGACACCAGTCATACTGGGGTAAGGGCCCACCCTACTCCAGTATGACCTTATTTTAACTAGTTACATCTGCAGTGACCCTATTTCCAAATAAGGTCACATTCACAGGTACTGTGGTGAGGACTTCAGCTTACCCTTTGGGGACACACTCCCACCCCCATCACTGTCTCTTGGGCAGATTCCCGTTGCTCCTTTGCCTGCTCCTGTGTGTCAGCCCCTACCCCACACTCTCCCTGCTCCTCGCTCCCAGGTGTACACCTGGAGACATGGGCTGGGTCGCCAAGTTGACAGCTCGGCTAGCCTCGCTGGGATGGAACCAGGCAACTCCCCTGAGGTTGTGCCCACAGGTGTCCATCGCCTTCCAGGACCTGGCCGTGCGGTTCTCCGAGGAGGAGTGGCGGCTCCTGGGGGAGGGGCAGAGGGCGCTGTACCAGGACGTGATGCGGGAGAACTATGAGACGCTGGTCTCCCTGGGTAAGGAGGTGGCTGTCCCTGGGGCCTTTCTGGGGAGGCAGCAGCAGATGTGGCAGGAGCTCAGGCTGAAAAGTAGATCCTCGGGCAGGATCCAGCACCAGGCAGGTCCTGAGTTACCATGTGACCCTGGGACCCGCCGGGCCTTAGTCTTCATCTACAAAATGAACACCATTTGAGGTGGCGATCCGAGAGCCTCGGGCTGAGCTGGGGATCTGGCTTATCTTTTATGTCACTGTTGTTTCCATGGACTGTAGTAGCATTCTGGGTACACTTTGGTGGGGGCACTAAAAAGCTGGCGAAACACTGGGTGGTGGTCTCCGGGGTCCTGACACCCTGCGGGTCTTGGGGTTTAAGTGGTTGCATGAACACACATGTAAGCAGGTGCATGGATGTGCAGTGCATGGTTGCGTGGAGGAGGGCAGAGGCCAGCTTCTGTTCCCCGGATGACTGTCTTTCTTTCCCAGGGACAGCTGAGCTGCTCCCCCTCTCTGCCTTCCTGTCCCCCACGGAGCCTGGAGGAGCCCTGGGGGGCGGGAGCAGTGCTGAGGAGAGGCAGGAGCCTCCTGGGGAAGGCCCCCCAGGTGAGTAATCTTGGCAGATGAGGGCCAGACCACTTTGGGTGTCCTGGTGCCCCAGGGCAGCCTGGGCCCGGATGGACTCACTCTTGTCCCTTCCACCCTTGTGATCCTCAGCCCCTGGCTTCACTCCTCAGGGGACACTGGGACCTCAGCCCTCCCCACCTGCCACCCTCCCCACCTCAACCACTCCTTCACCTTTCACCCCTCAGCCCTCGGGGGTGGGAGCCTGGTACACTGTTGCCTGTTGCGTGAAGGGCTCAGAAGAAAGCTGGGGTCACCCTTGGAGAGCATCCCCTCCTCAGGCCCCCTTTCTGCCACCTCCTGTGCAGAGCCAGCCTGCAGCTCCTGAAGGTCCTGCCACAGGGCCAACATCAGGGACTTCAGGTGATGGATGTGAGGCTGGGAGGTTAGGGGTGCCAGGAGAGGCAGAGGGCCCAGATGGTGGAAGGGCATGGGGAGGCAGCCCTCCTTGGCATTCCCCTCAGAGGAGGAATAGGTAACGAGTAACAGGTGCCATGGGCAGGTCACCTGGCCTGAGCCCGGGTCCCTTTTATCTCATGGACGTGGGTCTGTCCTTTGCTGCTCCTCACGTGGTTGGAGGATTCCAGGAGATACTGGTGTGGAGACGCGCCCAGAGTGTGCATGCTGACTGACTGACATAGGGCGTGAGGGTTCACTGTGGCCTCTCCGGCAGGAGGAGGGCCCCAGCACAGCCTGCACCTCACCGCCCTGGTGCAGCTGGTGAAGGAAATCCCAGAGTTCCTGTTCGGGGAAGTCAGCCCCGAGAGCGGGGGAACCAGCCTGGATGGGGAACGGGCCAGCCCCGAGGGTAAGTCGGACAGCGGGGCAGCCTCTCTGATGCAGTTCAGGCTGTGGGCAGCCGCCGTGCCCCGGGTGCCTGCCCAGCCCCGCCAGACCCTGGGCGGAGTCATGACCGCCCAGTAGTGCACCTGCCCTCTGAGAGCATGTGGATGGTTGGTGAGACAGCAGCCTCTGACTTTTCTTATAGTGGTTTCTATACGGCTTCAGCCACACCCTTGTGGCCCCCCTCACATCGTGCCCTACGTGGCAGCTGAGGCCAGTCCCTGTTCTGTAGATGACGAAGAGGAAGCGGTGCCTTGTCTGGGTGGCCAGTGGGGACTCAGGTGCCCCTCGTGGCCGGTGCTCTTCCCTCCTCACCAGCCTCTCCCTCCTTTCCTGGGCTTTGCTCACTCACTCGTCGCTCTCAGCTCAGGCCTCACCTCCTGAGAAGTCTTACCCCCAGCCCCAGCCCGTAGGGTTCCCTTGAGTCTGGTCAGTTGATGGTAAATGAAACAGAAAGTGGGGGGGATCTTATCAGAACAAGACCGTGGCTGTGAATCTACGTTTCAGAGCCCAGGTGACAGCACAGCGGTCACTGACGTCCTGGTTATTGTTAGTGGAACGTGGCAAGGAAGGGCCCGGATGGACAGTGTTGGGGCATTTTACCCGTTGTTGGGCTTACCTTCTAGCTTTGAGTGTCCTCTCCCTCCTCCCCGACAGCAGCCGTGGCTGTGGAGACCTGCCCTCTCCGAGGCCTGCTCGGCTGCCATCTGGACACGCCCATCAGCCGGCCCAGCCTGTCCAGCACGCCCAGCAGCAGCTCATCATCCAGTGGCCCATCCAGAGCCAGGGGGCAGGGAAGCCCTCTCCCCCTCAGTGAGTGTGAGCCAGTGGGGGCAGGGCTTCGAGCCTGGAGTCGGGGGCCCCTGTGCCCTCTGCATTTTCTCTGAGGCTCGGTTTCCCTCGTTGCTAAATGGGGACAAACTCCCCGGGAGCAGGACGTGCTCGGCCTCCGTCTGTGGACCAAAGAGGAGGCATGATGCTGGGTCCTGGGCGGCCTCTCACCCAGCCCTGCTCGAGGAGTACTGTGTGCTTGCACACAGTAAGCCAAGGGCAGCTTCTAAGATGCAGGCCCATCAGCAGGTAACACACCTGTGTGCACATGATCTGATTCTCAGACCTTTTCATCAGGGCAAACCTAAGAGCAGAGGAGGGCAAGGGTGCCCATTAGAATTTCTCTGGGGTGTCATTTTATTTTGAAAAATTTTGCATTTGTTTGAATATCTGTTTTTATTAAAAATACTTTAAATAATAGGGAATAAAATTGGCAGTCCTGAAAAACATACCCCGTTTAGCCCGTGGTTTCAGGTGTCTCTGGCAGATTTGCTCTGGGGATCCATGTGCCCAGATTTGAGAAGCATGAGTACAGGATTGGGGCCTGTGTGTTGAGGCTGCTGAGCCAGAGTCAGAGGCTGGAGTTGGGGGGTGGTTCACTGAGAGTGAACAGTCTTGGTATTTACAGTTACACCAGAAGGAACAGGGAAAGGATCCCCGCCTTCCCCAGGCTAGACTCCTGGAACAAGCCCTGTAGGAGCTGGCTCTGCCACAAGTTCAGTTTCCTGGAACTTGGCTGCCCCCCAGGGATTCAGGGAGCTGGAGAGATCTGTCCTCTATGGGGACCAGATCTGGGGCAGTTCCCCAGGGTCAGGAGATGGGGCTAGAAGGGCCTTCTGTCTCTCCTGCAACAGAAACTGCTGACAAACGGAAGCCAGAAGAGGAGGAAGGTCTAGGACCCCCTGGCGGGGAGCCCAGCCCTCCCACCTGTAGCCCTGGCAGGAAGAAGAGCCACAGAAAACAGGAGACAGCGACCACAGGGACAGGTGAGTGGCTGGCTTTCTTGAGAGTGGGGCCTGCCCTAGAGCTGAGGGAGGCAGGAAATGGAGGTGTGTGCACTTCATGGGAGGGTGTCATGTGGCTCTCCCATCTGGGCCTCCTGGACAACCGTACAAGGCAGGCGTCATCCCTGTTCTCACAGTGGGAAATCTCAGATGCTCTGAAGGTCCCAGGGCTGCCGCCATCAGGGTTGCACTGACCTTGGCTGATCTTGCAGGTGCCACAGGAATCTCTCCTGGGAACAGCCCCTTGCAAGGCCTCATCAACTGCCTGAAGGACATCCTTGTGCCTGGGCCCCAGCATCCTGAGGTGTCCCCGAGCTTACTGCCTTCTGTCCCTGGCCTGGGCGCATCACAGCTAACCAGGGCAGAGCTGGGGCCTAGGAGCCTGCTCTGGGGAGGTGAGTCCCTGGGAGCCTGTCTCCTCAGGCCAAGGTTTCTGAAGCCCCTGAAAAGCTTGGAGTGCCCTTCTATAGATATTTCTCTATAAATATAATGTCTTCCTGAAGGATCATTCCCAGCTTGGCTGCTCCAGTATCATCAGTGTCTTGTTTCTGGAGCCAGGTGGCTTTCTTAGGAGAACAGCAATTGGTCAGCTAGAAGAAGAAAACTCAAAAACAGATTTTGCCCTGGATTCTTTTGTGTTCTTTACTAGTCCTAATGTGGGACCTCTGGGGAGGAGATGCTGAGCAAGTGTCACTTGATGTTAAGCGGGATGCTTAGCGTGGACTTGGAGGTTCGGGTGGTGTGTTGGGGGCAGGAGCGCCGGCCCTGGCTAGAGTCCAGCGCCTGTTAGCTGGGCAGACTGAGAAAGGCTCCTGGAGCCTTTGAGCCTCGGTTTCCCTGTCTATAGAAAGGGATGGTGGTTCTCGCCTTAGAGGGCTGTTGTGAGTCTTAGGTACAATGATGTACTTGTGTGTACGTGTGTTTGTGAAAAGCTTGGTCCTCCTCATATGGAAGTTCTGTTCAGGGCCCAGAGAACTGTGTAGGAGAGACCTGGGGAGCCCCCTTCTTTCCTTGTACCCGGAGAACACCATGCATGCTGCCTTTATCGTGCACGTTCTCATGTCCCCTGCCTTTGTCTTTCCCATTCTGGGAGGTATGTCGACAGGCATTGTTAAACCGAGCACTAAGAAGACAGTGGCGTCTGCAAGGCTAGATGAGCTACAAGGAGACCCACTTCTCCAGATTTCTGGCCCTGAGCCCTTTTAACTGCTCACCTGGATTATCCACTTGTTGTTGTTTGTCACGAAGACTGAGGACACCAGGCTCAGGGTGAAAATGTGTTCCTTTTTACTATAGTGAAGACAGAGGCAGCTTCCGGAGATTGTCCCCTCCAGGGTCTGCTGAAGTGTCTGAAGGAGATCCCAGAGGCCCAGCTCAGGCATCCCAGCCCCTCAGGAGTCGGGGACCCTCAGCTGCAGGAGGACCCAGGGGCCCAGAAAGGGAGTTCTGGAGGTAAAGGCCGCTGGCTGGGCTGGGAGGGTCCCCGGAAGTCATCCGTTTCCTTTCCCTGCTCCGAGCAGCGCTGCATGTGACCCTCCGCAGTGAGATACTCAGGCCACACGTTGGTGTGTCAGTTAGAGTAGCCACATCTTGGGGATCGTCACTGTAAATGGAGGTAGGCACGTGGGAGGTGCTTCGTCAGTACGTGATAATTTTCCAGATTGGCTCTTAAAGTAGGAGCTGAGAGTTCCAGAAGGAAGGGATGGTCGGGAGGGAGAGAGACCAAGAATAAAAGACATAGCTCGGCTCAGTAGACATTTGGGGCATGATTTTGATGTGGGGTTTCTCAACACATTCGTGTTGGCTGGGGTAGCATTTCCACATGCTGTAGCTCTCCAGTGCTCCTTAGCTTCTCAGAACATTGAGAAAGTTGAATTGAGGCGGGCGTGCTGGCCTTGAGGAAAGAGCCTGATTTGGTGCTGCCTGGGGAGGGCTGACTTGGCATCCCTCAGCAGAAACCTCTGGAGGCTCCCCAGAGGGGCCTGGGGCAAGACCGGGAGTGTGAGTTGATTCATCTGCTGGTGGCTGCGTGGTGACTACCTCAGGGCCAGAGACTGCTGTGGGGGCCAGGGACCTTGGAAGCCCCGTCCTGACCCTATGAAGGCCTCATGGGGGACTTCTCACAGGGCCCAGACCCTTCCAGAAGCCTCCTCCCAGCCCTGGTCCTGGAGCGGGCAGCGTGCTCTCTGTGGTGAAGGTGGAGGACGACTGGGCCCAGGGCCCCCCAGTGCCTGCATCCTGTCAGCTCAGCAAGCGGACACACAGCCCTGCTGCCACTGGTAGCCCAGGGGGCGATGGAGACATCAGAGGGCTCCGAGTGCCCAGCTGGCGCCCTGCGGCTCAAGGTGAGGCCTGGGGTCGTCTGCTTGAGTCCTCCTGGGTGAGATCCTCAGCCCCCAGGGGAGGGGGTGCCTGCCTGTCTTGGGCAAGGAGGCCGTCCACCTGGCTGTCCTTCTCAAGCAGTTAATCCCCTCTCTTAATTCATGTCCTCCTAATCCAGGCCCTTGCCCAGGGGGCCTTCCGTTGTAAGGACCTTCAATTTGCAGAGATTCCTGACTGTTAGGGAGCTGGCCACTACATACGTGTGCATCTCCCCACCTTGCCCCTGGGGCCCGGGGGTACGGCTTGTGTCACTCCCCCGAAGGAGCAGAGAGCAGGTCAAAGTCCCCCACAGAAGTGTCCTGCTTGCCCCCACCCCTGGTATAGGACTCGCCATCCCTGGAGAAGGCAGGCCGGGGCAGCCAGCCTGGGGCCAGGCCAGAGGCATGTGCGAGACAGAGGTGGTGATAGGCCATCTCCCCTGTCCCAGCCGGCAGTGCCTCAAGCCCAGCCCTGGAAGCCCTGGAGGCCTGTCTGAAGGGCGTTCCCCTGAGCGCGTCGTTACCTCCCCAGCCGCCGGCTACCTCTTGGTCCCGGAGCCCCCAGCCAGGAGACCCCGGGTCTCAGAGGCCCAAGCTGCAGCCCCTTGGATTACACAGCAAAGGTAGATTGTGCCTCGGGCTGGGGGTGGCATTTGTCCCTGGACACAACATGGAAGGGATGCTGAGAACACCGTTGGGTACCCCCCCGCCTCATCCTGGGCCTCCTGAGGCACCTGCCCTTCTGCCCCCAGCCCCCTCTTACATGCCTGCCCCCAAACAGCTCCTGAATTTGGTGGAAACTGGTTAAACTGTCCCTGCTCCTGCCTTCTCTGAGAGCTCTTACTTACCCTCTAGGCCACCGAGACTGTGGTTGGCTTTATGTGGGTTAACATGCTACGGTATTTTAATCAGCACCATGAGTGCCTAACCTAAGGGGAGACCCCAGTGGGAGATGCTTTGGGGCAGGTCTGGGCACCCGTCCACAGCCCGGGGCCCGGAGGACCTCTTCTTCAGTGGCTTTGCTCTGCTGTTTCCCACAGAGGTGACCGTGGGGCCTCTTCTGGCTCTGGGCCTGCAGGATTGTGTGAGAGACAGTCCTGCCCTCCCCCCAGGCTCCCATGGCACCCCCACCAGCTTCTCCTCGTCCAGCAGCACCGATGAGGACCTGGATTTCCAGAGCCCTGAGGGCAGCCAGGGATGTCCGCCTGGAAAAGGTGAGCTGGCCGGCCTGAGGCAGGGAGTTGATCCTGGGAAAGGATAGGAGGCCCTCCCGTCCATCATTGTGTCTGACCCGACCAAGTCAGGCCGTCGTGCTCAGTGCCAGGAGCAGGGCTGGGGGGTGCCAGGGCAGAGGCAGACCTGAGACTTGTTTCAGTGGGGGGTCTGTTTTAGCAGCTTGGCTCAAAAGGGGCAGGTCAGTGTCTCAGTGTCTCTTGAAAAACAGAAAGGGGTCTCCTTTGGTGTCAAATTCTTCCTTCTCCCAGCCACAAAGAGGTAAGTGCCTATAACATCAGACCTCCGAGTTAGGAAAAAACGTTGTGAGGTTCCTATAAAACCACCTTATAGAGTGTATTTGGTGACCCGCGTCTCCCCTAGGTCCCTCCACGTAGAAGCATCCATGGTGAGCTGTCATCTCTTCGGAATCTTGCAAGACTTTCCAGGGTCCCCTCTCAACCTTTTCTCCCCACCTGAATAAGCCGAGTGCTCTTGGTCTTCCTTGTCCGCAGACCCCCTGGTCCCCGTGCTCTCCTCTGTGTCCTGGCCATGTCTGCTGTCAATAGAAAGACCTAGAGCTCACCCAGGATTCTGCTCTGGGTCAGCTGGGACCAGTAGGGCAGGACTGGGGCCTTCTGGTGTCCCGTGTGGCCTGGATTCCTGTCCTGTTCCAGGGGTCAGCCACTTGCATGTGGGGGCTTTTTCCTCCCAAAACACAGCTGACTTTTCTTTTAAGTTTTAAACAGGTAACATAATCACATGGTCTTATTCAAAGGCTACGAAAGGTCATATAGGAAAGTGACATCTGCCTCCCTCCCCTGCCCCCCAGCACCCATGTCCTCCCTGAGTCACCACTGCTGAGAGTCTTTCACCTTCCAAAGATGTTCCCTGCGTGGCCAGGCTTCTCGTGTGCTCACACTCAGTAGCATTCTGCACACGGCCTTGGCCCCTGCTATTGGTCTTCATGTTCGCCTTTGACGGCCTCCTGTGTTTTGTCTTACATTTCTTGGATGCTGGCACCACTCCATTCTCTTTGTCAGCTGCATGGTGTTCCATAGTAGGGAGCACATGTCTTTCTTGTGCATCCTCCACTGATGGACTGTGTTTGCTAAGCAACCCAAACTGAGGAGGTTTCACGCTGATGTTTAGAAGCATCCAGCCCAGCTCCCTCTGTTGCCCCACAACTCAGCAAATATCCTGTGGGGAGAACTGCATTTGGAGTCCCTCTGGCTGATGCATTGCCATTCCAGCCCCACAGGACAGCCTGGAGCTCTGATGGCTTCTCTTTTCTCACGGTCTGCCTGGCCTGTCTGCAAACACCTTCAGGAAAGAACATGGCCAGAGATGTCAACTCACATAAGAAGAGCCTTTCCTTTTCTAGAATTTAGGTTCATCTAGTTCCTGTTGGTTCCACAGCTGTCACTAGAAATATGATTTTTGCAATTTATTTGGTTTTTTCCCAAGTTGAAACTGCATTAGTGTTGGCCTTCTTGAGCTGCTACATCACACCCGGAGGTGAGGGCGCCTTTAATGTTTCCTCTCTGAGTGGTGAAGGAAGCCTCCGATCCTCAGGGCCGTCCTGTGGCTGAGGCCGGGTGGTGGCATCCCTCTCAGGGTGGAGCAGGGTGGCCTGAGGGAGCCCAGACCCAGGCCTGTGGCTGAGCCCCCTCATCACAGCTCATTGACCAGGCTTCTGTGTAGGCGGCCGAGACAGGTTGGCTTCTTCCAGGCCAGCCCGAGCAGGGCTGCCCAGAGCCAGGACCGACACATGTTTGGGGCTAGGTCTCGGGTCAGGTGCCCGGAACTGGCCCGACAGTTCCAGTGCTCTGTGCGTCCTCCCGGGGCCCCAGCTGCCCGGGACACAGGGCACAGGCAAGGCTCTGGGGTTCACAGAGACCGAGCTCTGATGACCAAGATGGTGAATGTTGAGTTTTCACAGGAAGCCCCGTGGGAAGCTCCCCGCTCCAGGGCCTGGAGAACTGCCTCAGAGAGATACCTGTGCCCGGGCCTCAGCCTGTCTGGTCCTGGTCCTCGGCAGGGGACAGGGGGCCACGGAGAGCAGAGCCCAAGAACTGGACGGCAGACACGGGAGGTAAAGCACGGCTGCCAGGTGTCTGGGAGCAGGGAAAGGCGGGTCCCATGCTGCTGCCTCCGGCACTGCCTCTGCCAGCAGCCGTGGGCCCACGTCCACCCCTAAGCTGAGGAGACACTCGGAAATGGCGTGGGCAGAGGCTTGTGTGAGGCCAGAAAGCCAGCTAGTGCTGCCAGCGTCTGAGTGGTGGGGCAGTCAGGGCAGGACACGTAGCCCCCCATCTGCTCCGAGTCCAGCCTGAGCCGGGGCCGTGGCAGCAGGGTGTTTTGATCCTGGCTATGTCAGCCCCACGTGCCTTGGCATCCGGCACAGTTGCTGAGCTGTGGGGCTCCCAGGAGTCCAGGTAGCTGGGTCTGGGAATAAAGAGATCCCGGAGGACTTGGGCTGCTCCCGGGCACATCTGCGAGATGGCGTGTGTCCACAGCTGTAGGTTGTGTGCCTGAGAAATTGTCCTCTGTCCCGTAACTTCCTAGCCTCGGTGCCAACACAGGGCTGACAGGCCTCTTGGCTTCTCGTTAAAACAGGGCTGAGGGGCGAGGCCTGTGAGCCAGCCCGTCTGGGACAGCATGGTGGGGGAGCGCCCACCAGGAGTGTCCGGCTGGCCAGCCCACATGTGCTCGCCTCTAGTAGCATCCCCGCCTGCTGTCAGCGAGGGCCCAAAGACCACGGAGACACCAGGCCGGGACCGGGGAGGTGGCTCCAAGATGGTGAGCTGACATCTGCCCCAGTGTTTACTGGCATGTTTTCCCTCCAAATGAAGTCTTTGATGAGGGAATAGATATCCTCTCCCCTCTCTCTCTCTCAGTCCCTTCTCTATCTCACTGCGTGCTGGAGCGCATGCGTGGGGTGCTCCGCGGTGCTAGCTGCGTGCAGGAGTGTGTGTGCATTCCCCAAAGACCGCTGGCTGGAGCACTGTGAGGTGTGCTCCGCAGTGCTGAAGAGGTGGAGAAGAACACTGTTTTTGTCTGGCCATTGGGTTTCCCTGGGAGAAGACTGGTTATTTCCTTCATTGCAGTAGTGGCCTGGGGGTGAAGGCGGCTCTCCCTCTGCTGCAGCGCTTGGTGGAACTTACAACAGAATTCCTTCCTAGACCTGCTGAAGTGGGCTGGTCGGGTCTGACTTATTTGAATAAATATGGCATTTCTAATACTCTCACCAGCAAGAACGGGCTTTTGGGGGCCTGCTGTGGACACGACTGAATCTCTGGACTGCTGGTCCTGAGTGAGTGCAAGTAGGAGGGGCTGCCTGGCTTGTCGGACCCAGGGCCTGGCTGGAACCAGAATACTAGTAGCTTCCAGGGACTTGAGGCTTTAGGAAAGTTCCCCGGCTGACATTCCAGAGCGGCTGGGGGCCTGGCTTCACTTCCCTCCACCTCCATGGCCAGAGAGAGAGCTGTTCAGGGTCCACTAGAGCTTGTGCGGAGCCGGTGGCTGAGCTGGAAGGGGAGCAGCTCTGCGTGCTCTGTTCTTTAAGGTAGAGGGTCCTCCTGCCTGTCATCGGGCAATGGACTAGAAGGTTCTTTTGTTGTCGTCTGCCCAGGAGCGGCTACCAAGCCCTCCCCACTCCACTGCCTGGAGAACTCTCTGAAGGGGATCTTGCCTGGGAGGCCCCTGCGCTTCGCCTGCTTGGCTGGCCCCAGCCCTGGCCCTAGCCCCAGCCCCAGCCCCGGCTCCAGCTCCAGCTCGAGCTTCAGCAGCTCAGAGGGAGAAGACCCGAGGCTGGAGCCTGGGCTCTGGCGGCCGCTCCTGCAGGGTGAGCTCATGGGGGAGAGAATAGGGCAGGGAGCCACATCCAGGGTGCTGCCACTGTCCTGACGCCAGCTTTGTTTGTGATGCCAGAGAGGGGCCGCCTTCCCAGCTGCAAGGGTCCTGGCCCTCCATCCCCGCGCCCTAGCGGCCCCCACACTGACTGCAGCCCTGGTGAAGTTCCAAGGAGAGCAGAGCCTGGGGACCCTGGCGGTCTCAGTGCAGGTGAGCCTGGGGTCTCCTGAGAGGGAGTGTGTCCCCCGGGAGGACCACAAGCCCCGAGACTGGGTTCTCTGAGTCCCACTGTCTCTTTGTCTGACTTTTGCCAGAAAGTTCTCTACTTTGGTCATGCTTGAGCTCTTCGTAAGATGAGCTGTGTCTGAGAGAGAAGGTGGGACTGTTGCGGCACACGGGGCAGCAGGAGTGTTCAACAAATGTGTTTCATTAGAAAGCCTGAAGTAAACGTAATATGTTTACGTTATATATATAATATGTGCACATTATATATGGTTAATAGTGTACATGTAATGTGTACACATATATATTGTTGTGTGAGTCCCAGCTTGTCAGTAGTGATGCTCTCAGCTGGGAATGCCTGAGGCTCTCACCCCGGCCTGTGTCACTCGTAAGGAGCCCACAGACACTCCCCAACTGGGGCCCGTGTTCTGGTTGGTCTGACCCTTGTGGTTCTTACTATGATTGTAGGACACACTTCCACAAAAACCCTCAAGGGACTTGGAGGAACAGAATTTCTTACTCACAGGTCCTGGAGGGTGCATGGCACAGTGAGGGCCACACAGCGAGGTCGCAGGCAGAGAGAGAAAGAGCATGTGTGTACCCAGGGCTCTGTCTTGATTAGGGTAGAGAGTGGGATGTCTAGGCTTTGGCAGGGTCTCTCTTTATTGAGCAATTTAAAACACAGGAGTGGGAACTAGGGTGCATGAAGGGAGAAGTGGGGGGGTGGTCACTGAAGCGGTCAGTTATCTAGGTCACCCAGGGCTTTCTGAGTGAGGGACCTTCCTGGGTGGGGGCGGCCTGGTTCCTTATCTGGTTGTGCTATGTGCGAGTAGCCATGTCATACAGCTGGCAAGATGTTTATCCAGGATGGATATCTTTTGAAATGGATGCCTTGGCAATCAAAAAGCTTAATGTCAGACACTTACTCTACATGTACTTGCATATATGTATATATATAATAGGAGTATATATTTTAAAAATTTGTCAATAAATAAAAACCATGTCAAAAGTGAGATTCTTCCACCTGGAAGAGCTTAGAGATTGTGCTGTCAACAAAGCTGGAATTGCTGCCTGCTACCCCAGGCTGCCTCACTTCTCAGTCCAAGCGTGACCCAGTGTTTGCTCCCAGCAGGAAAAGCAGAAGAGAAGACGGGATGCAGGTCCCAGTCGCCCTGGAGAGAAGTGTGTTTGGAGACCCCGGGCCAGCCTGGCCCCCTGGGCAGTGCCAGAGGAGGTAGAGGTGGGGTGATGGTCGGGAAGGGGTTCCTCTGGACTCAGGCTGGTGGCTCCACACGGTCTGTGGTCTCTGCACAGGCCCAGGCGGTACCCATGTTCCTTACTGCCCAGTGGGCCTGGTGGGAAACAGGAGAGTGGGCTGGGCAGGGACCACGGAGTCTCCCAGGGCCTACAGGGCACCCCCAGCACATCCCTGGAGAAGCCTCACTGGAGGTGGGGCCTGCAGATCGAGGCCCCCTCCACTTGCTCTCCCGGCCTCCACTCCTGGAAGAGCCAGAGGCATCATGCTGGAGCCGCAGAGGCCTCCAGATAATCAGTCCGCTCGTGTCACACATGCCCCAGCTGGCCATTTGACCCGAGCTGGGCTCCCTGACAGGCCAAGTGTGTTCATCTCACATCTCGTTTCACTGTTATTAAAGTTGAAAGTTCCGTTTTTTTTTAGGCCATGTCCAAATGTCCCCATGTCAGATGGCTCTGGCCAAGCGATGCATATCCACAGCCCACTGCTCTGCTCTTTCTGCAGAGGCTGCTGTGAATCCTGGCCCTGCCGCTTGGCTAGAGAGAAGGCCTGGGCTGGGGCCCTGCCAGCCTCCTGGGTCAGTCCCCAGGTCCCTGTCCTGGAAGCCCAAGGTTGGTGAAGAATCCAGGGGCCTGGGGCCTGGAAATGGAAGACCAAGTGTTGCAGGTGAACTGGTGGCTTCCCCATCCCTCAAGTCATCAGGAGCCCTGCAGGCTCAGGGGTGGGCAGGGAGTTGCGTCTGCATGGTCACCCACCCTCCTTCCCCGAGGCTCCTTACTGCAGGGCGGGCTGGCCAGAACCCCAGGGCACAGCGTGGGGAAAGCTGTTTCTTAACACCCTTCCAGCCTTATTTGGGTCACAGGTAGGAAGAGTCTCACCTGAACTCACTTTGGGTTGCTTATTTCATTGTAGTGTTGTCTTACAGAAATGGCTGGCTTTTTCATAAATGCGCAGGTACCTTTTAGAGGCAAAACGGAAATTGAGACGTGTACCAGAAGAGATATGCCCAAAACCAAAGTTTGGGCTTTGAGGGGACTTTAGAGAATAGATGAGGAAACTGAGGCCCAGGAATGTTGAGGGCCCTGGCCAAGGGCATCCCGAGAGATGTGGTTCTGCATCACACCTGACCCTGAGGCAGCTCTTCCCTAAACCATGTTGGAGACACGTGGAGGGCAGGGGGCCCGGCCCCCGGGGTCACTCTGGGACGTGCACTGAGACCCTCGCGTCAGCGACTTGACATGTGGCCTCCAGGGGGCTCCATCGCTGGCTCATGGGTTCCAGCAGCTGCTTTATTAAGAGCGCTGAGCTGGCCGCAGGCTGATCTGTCATGTGTCGCTCAGTTAGAGGTAGACCTGTGACAGCGGCTGCCTCGAGAGCCTTCAGCACAGGTCCTTAAAGAAGTCGGCCAGGCAGCGCTTGGGTCCTCGACACTTCAGTCCTGGCGTTTTCCTCCGTTTGAAGCCCTGGAGGTGCTGACGAGAGCAGCCTGGCCGGGTGGGGCTCAGAGAGACGGTGGGAGAGCAGAACTGTCCCGCCTGGGCCTGGGGGTAATGGGGCTTTCTTGTGAGGGTTGCTGGCAGTGGAGACCAGTTCCAAGGGAATTTAGGATGAAGGATTAGGTGATTTTTTTTAAAAAAGTAATTTAAGACTTAAATCCTGTGAATCTGTAACTTCTGAATAGGAGGGTCAAGGTCAGGATGGGCAGGAACACTTGTGGTTTGCTTATGACCAAGAGCACTGGGTGCTGATGGCCCCATGGTCACCCCACCAGAAGGCCCGGGCTGCAGGCTGGACTGGCCCCCTGGGCCCTCTCCCAGAGGCTGCCCACAGCCTTGGCCTCATGTTGTCTGTTGAGGCTCCCCAGTCCCTGCTCACTGACTCCCTAGGGCAGGGTTAGGTGCTTTGGGGTGCCATTTGGTCCCAAAGGTGACATGAAGAACCCATTGATCCTTTTCCTAGAAAGTGGGAAGGCCGCAGTCCTAAGAAAGCTTGGTTACCATGGAGACCCAATCTGAGGTTTATCCAGTCCATGTGTTTGGGGAACAGCCAGGAGACATGGCCACTTCCGGTATTGTGGGCATTGGCGTCCATAGTGTCAAGCCTGAGTCACTTCCTTCCTGTGTAAAGCCGGGCCAGTGGGGCAGGCTGCCGAGCACACTAGCTGAAGGGACCCCCGCAGGGAGAGAAAGGTCCTGATGGCCAGAGAACTCTCACCCCAGTCCCTGTTCTGGTTTTAGCAAGGATCGACGGGAGACCGCTTCCCAGAGGCTTGCCTGAGCCACGCCCTGCGGCCCCCATCCCTCCGGCTTTGCCACTTGCCTCCCCACGGCCTCCGTGCCCCTGTGGGCGTTCGCTGCAGCAGGAGCTCCGAAGCCTCAGCGCCGCCCTCTCAGAGAAGCTGGATCGGCTCGCCGCAGCCCTGGCAGGCCTGTCTCAGGAAGTGGCCACCATGAGGACCCAGGTGGATCGGCTGGGGAGGCACCCTCGGGTCCCGGGGCCAAAGGGCCAGGCTTCCTGGCCGTGGGCCCTCCCCCGGGGGCCTCGCTGGGCTAATGGTCCTGCTCACCGACACCTGCCCTACTGGAGACAGAAGGGCCCCAGCAGGCCAAAACCAAAGGTTCTGCGCGGCCAGGCGGACGGCTGCAGGGCTGGCGACTCCTCAGGCCTCTCCAGCAGGAGGCTCTGCCCGGTGCCTCCACTGCCTCCAGACGCCCCCCCAGCAGAACCACCTGGGCCCAATTCTAGCCCTTCGCAGCAGCCCCTCTCCTCAGCATGTAGCTGCTGCCCTGTGCTAACTGTGCAAGCCCCCCTCGGATACACTGGGGGCCACCAGACCCCCCCGCCCCCTTCAGTGCCTGCTGGCTTACCCCCCCAGACGGCCTCTCCTGCAACCAGCGCAGACACATGGCCGCTGGCTGCAGCAGCTGCACCAGCCGGGTCCCTGAACCGGCCTAAGGCCTCAAACAGCCTGTTGGCGGGGGTCCACAGAGTCCTGCATGAAGAACTGTGGGGTGGGGAACATAGGGACCCAAGGTGGGGAGCCCCTAACCACCTTCTTCACCAGCTCAGGCCTGCTCAGGATGCCCCGCCCCTGGCCGCCTCTCCTCAGCGCAGTCCCGCTCTCTCACCCTGCTCCAGCAGAACCTTCCCCATTTCTGGGCCATGAGAGGGCTGGGAGTTCTGCCACTGGCCTGACCGCCCCCCTCCAGGTTGCTGTTTGCTCAGGGAGGCCGCCATTTGGGGTCCATCCTTCAGCCATGCCGCTGGCCTTGCCTCAGGTTCATTCAGATGTTGGCCCCCTACTTCCCACCAGAACTGCCACAGCTGGTAGGCATGTGGCGTGCATACACGCGTGTGTACACAACGTGTGCCCGGGGCGCTCCGAGCAGCTGCAAAGGGGCCACGAGAGCCCCTCCTAACATCTGCCCCTGGTCTCAGCGCTGAGGGGGCATGGCTCTTGCCTCCCTGGTAACTGTGGGAGGTTTCCTTTGCGGGGAACTCTGCCCCGCGGTCTAAGCTGGGTTTACCCGTGTGGATTCCAAATGAAAGCAGTTGGTTGCTGAGGGAAAGGCCCTTGGTTCCTACAGAAAGCTCAGGGGGCCACACCGGGGCGTGGCTGATTGGTTATGCTGCCAGTACTGGGGACGAGTCTGCCTTCCCGACACCATGGAGAGGATTCGGCAGTCTCCCGTAAGGCTGGGGGATCAGCTGTGGGACGGAATCTCCACGTGACTCCTCAGGAGAGAGTGGCGCACATTGTGTTGTGGTGGCACGTTGGGCCACCGTGACAAAGTACCACAGACGTTTACCCTCACCGTCCTGGAGGCCAGAAGTCCAAAGTGTCGGCGGGGTTGGTTCCTTCTGAGGCTGCAAGGGAGCATCTGTTCCGGGCCTGTCTCCTCAGCTTGTCAGTGACCGTCTTCATGTTCACGTGGCGTTCTCCCTGTATGCATCTCCAGATTTCCGCTTTGTATAAGAACACCGATCATTTGGACTAGGGTCACCCTAATGCTCTTACTTTAGATTACTTGTGTAAAGATCCTGTCTCCAAATAAGGTCACATTGTGAGGTCCTGCGGGTTAGGACCCTGACATATGAATTTGGCGGGGGGGACACAGTTCAACTCATAACACATACGAGGGACTGGGCTAGCCTTCTTGGGTTCGTCTTGGGAGGAGAGAGTGTGACCAAAGTGTCACTAGGCCTGTTTCTTTCCTGGTGGCCAGAACGGCCTGCTCTGGGCCCTGCCCCTCAGATGGCACTGGCGGTGCGTCCAGAACAGCCTGCCTATTGCCTGCCCACCTGGTTTCCTTCCCCTGGGTCAGAGCTTTTCTGCCAAGCTATGTTCCCACCTCAGTGCCTGCTTGATTTGGGGGATCTTCAGGACTGTCTTTGTACACGTGTTGCCTGGGAAAGACCGGCCTGGCATCAGCGGGCACAGTCAGCTCTCCTGTCAGGGAACTGGGGTGGCAGTGCCAAGGTCTCAGCCACCTAGGAGCCCAGAAGGGGCTGGAGCCACGATGGCTGCAAAAGCAGCGCCTTATGGCTGCTGTGCCCCATGTACCCCTAACGTCAGGGTCTTTGGGGACACACACAGGGCCCGGCCTGTGCCCTTCGCTGCAGCAGGCTACTGACACAGACCGTCACCAAGAGGGGGCGTTAAAATGTTTTCAGGACTGGAGTAAGTCCCAAGATGAGTCTTGGAAGCTAATGTATATAAGATCATACAAGTAGGACATTTAAGATAAGCAGTCTTCATGTCTGGCCGTACTTGATAGAGAATAAGGACAGGAAAGTTCTAGGCTTTCCACTCGTGGAGACCTCAGGAAGTGAGTCCAGCTCCTTTTCAAGCTGTGCAGGAAGCGTCGCTGGGCATGTTTCAGAGCCAGTAGAAAGGGTAGGACAGGCCTCTGGGATGAGAGGGAAGGCGGGCGCCTCCCCGGTGTGCAGGGGCCCTGGTGTGAGGAGGAGAGCTCTGTCCACCCGTGCTCAGCTCCTCCTCCCATCCTGCCCCGGCTGGCCCGCCTTCTCCGCTCTTCTCGCCTTTCTCAGCCAGGGTAACAGGAGGTGGCCTGCCACCTACCTTGTATGGCATTTTAAGGTTTTGTTTTGTGAGATTTACAAATATCAGCCATCACACAAACCCCATGCAGCAGGCATTCAGGAGCAAATGAGCTCAGAGGGTGTAAGTAACTTGCACACGGCTGTTCACTGGCTGAGAGGGGTGCTGGTGCTCAGCAGCCCTGGCAGTTCCCTCATCCCCAGAGCACAGCTCCTTCCAGCCTTCGCCTGCTGTGGAGGACGAGGATACTCGGGGTGGGCCCAGGCTCGGTGGTCCAGGTCCAGTCGGACCATATGCGAAGTTCAAGTCTTATTTTTTTAAGAATGTGGAAAATAAGTAATAAAATGGTAAGAAGCTCCACTATCTGCAGCTACGTTCATCCCACAGGATTTAGTTCCCTAGGTCCTGTCCACTGCCGCAAGAACAAAAAACCCTTTTACAATTGTTAAAAGCCTTCTAGAATTTTTGATTTGGTGAAAAAGCTGCGTGCAGTTTAGGACTGTGTCCATCTCCTTCACCTGCTTTGTGGGGTTGTTTTGAGGAGGAAATGGGATCACCTTCGTGGGAGAAACTGAGGGGGCTTTTTGAGCTCAGGAATTTGGGGGTCTGGAGGTGGGGGGCAGAGAAGGCTCTGGCTCTGCCTGCCGCCATCCTGGGAAGTAGCCCGGAGGACGCTCCTGCTGACCTGGGTGCGGACCTTCTCTCCCTTCCCACGGGGCTCACGATGGGTCCTTGAAGTGCTCCATCTGCCGCCTGCCAGCCCGAGGCCACTGTCAGGCAGGAAAGTGGGAGGGCCTGCTCCAACCTGTGAGAATCAGAGCGGCCTCCCCACCTTCTCCAGGGCTCCCCTGAGGGATCCAGCAGAAGGGAGGCAACAATGGGGGTGAGGGTGCAGGGACCACTGTTTGCTGCCTGTGACACTCCATGATGTCACCGCTCCCTCCAAAGGAGCTTGGCAGACCAGACTTCTTACTCCCAACATTTTTGTGTCTTTATGTTTTAGATGTGGCTTCTGTAAACAGCCTATAGTTGGATTAGTTTTTAGTCCAGTTTAACAAATTCCATTCCTTACTCTGAGCCCTCAGTTCATTTACATGTAAAGTAATTACTGACATGTTTAGGTTTGAATATACCATCTTATTTTGTGCTTTATGTTTACCCCATCTGTTCTGAGGTTTTTTCTTCTTCTTGGCCTTCTTTTGTATAGACAATGTTTTGATCATTCTGTATTCCCCTCTACTAGCCTCAAAATTTAATGAACCTAAAGGAGAAAGAGCCAAATTCACAATCATATTGGGAAGACGTTTAGCATATTTTTCTCAGAAGTTAGAACAAATCAGGAAGGAGTTAGAAGATTGGAACAAGCCAATTAACAAAATTGGACCTACTGATGAATATATAGAACCTTGTTCCATAGGACTATGAAATAGACATTCTTTTCAAGCCTATATATAGAACATTTTTTAAATTGGCCATATACTAAGCACTAGAGTGAGTTTAAACAAATTTTAAAGTATTGAAATTATATAGAATATGATCTATGACCATACTTTAGTTTTTTCTTTTCTTTTTTTGCTGAAGAAGATTCACCCTGAGCTAACATCCATTGCCAATCTGTCTCTCTTTTTTTTTTTTTTTTTTTTGCTTGAGGAAGTTTTGCCTTGAGCTAACATCTGTGCCCATCTTCCTGCATTTTGTATGTGGGTCGCCTCCATAGCATGGCTTGACAAGTGACGGTGTCAGTCTGTGCCCAGGATCCGAACCCACGAACCCAGGCTGCCGAAGCAGAGTGCATGGAGCTTTAACCACTTGGCCACAGGGCCAGCCCCTACTTTAGCTTTTAAGCTTCAAATAAATAAAAAATAACCAGGAATTTTCATATATTCAAAAAATAGAAATTATGCTGCTGAGTAAACCATGTGTCAAGAGATCATAATGGGAATTAGAAATATTTTGAATTAAACTATAAGAAAGTACCGTATATCAAAACTTGTAGGATAAAGCTAAATCAGTATTTAGAAATTTATAGGCAATGAGTGTGTGAAAAAGTAAAGGCTGAGAATTTCCAAGGAGGTACAACTTGGACAGCAAAGGCAATCCAAAGAGAGTAAAAGGAGGGGGCGATGTAAATGTAAGAGCAGAAATTAGTGAAATAGCATAATAGATATAATCAACAAAGCCAAAAATTGTTTCTTTAGCAAAATTAATAGAATTGATTAGCCTGTGGTGTATTTCATCAATACAAGAAGCTACAAATAACCAATCTCAGGGCCAAAAAAGTGGCATCACTACAGATGCTGCAGGCTGTCTAAAGATAAGATGATCTTTTAAGGCACTTTCTTCCAAAAATTAGAAAATCGAAGTAAAATAACATTCCTACAAGAATACGAATTAACAGACTCAAGAAGAAATAGAAAACTTGAACAGTCCTATGCCTTTGAAAACATTGCGTCAGTGATCAAACATCCTCCTGCAAAGGAAACTACAGACCCAAAAGGCTTCACCAGCAACTTCTACCTCACATTTAAGGAGAAGATTATTCCAGAGAACAGAAAAATATGGAATACACTTAGACTCATTTTATAAGATAGCATAATCTTAAAACCAAAACTTGACAGAACAAGAAAGGAAAATCACAGACTAATCTCAAAAGAAATGTACAGAGAAGCAAAAATCTTAAAATATTATCAAACAGAATCCAACAGTATGTCAGAAAACTAAAACATGGGTTTATTTCAGAGATGCAGGAATGGTTTAACATTTGAAAATAATTAAATGGTAGCTCACCACAATAATAGATTAAAGGAGAAAAATCATGTGATCATCTCAATAGATGGAGAAAGGTCATTTTATAAGAGCCAACAACCATAAATATTTTAAGTAAAAAGGATGAAAAAGGAAATTCTTTAATTTGATAAAGATTATCTACAAAAAACAAAAACAGCTTATAGCACGCATGATAGTTAATAGTGACAAGTTCAAGTGTTCCCTCCTGTCAGGAACAGGACAGGAGGTCCCTCATACACAATTCAGCTTTATAGTGGATGTTCTAGCCAGGACAGGACAGCAAGAGAAAAATAAAAAGGATGAGGATCTGAAGAGAA